GAGTCGGCATCGACCAGTGTTAATGCCGAACTAGGACGAAACAGCCGTCCAGTGCTTCCAGGTTTTCAATGGTTATCTAACATTGACAGGTTCATGGTCTCAATTACAATGCGCAACCCTATATTGATAACTATCCTTTTTTCGGATTGTGTAAACGAATAATTTCCCCACTAATTTCAAACATTATTGCTTCCATTGTGAATTTTGTACAAAAAAAACGTGAAACCCGTTTATTCTTTCCAGTTTCTAGTTGATTTATCAACCAAATATCCTGGTATTTAAAGCATTTAGTCCCTTTTGTAAATTTCGATAGAGTAATGAAAAGATAGAGTTGATCTGAAAAAAAAGTGATGTATTTACGCCATACATTTCGAACAATCCGGTCACATGTATACTTGTCAGGGCATTTTTTATGAATCATTCAATCAGCTACAACGTTGGGCTAGGCATCGGTCCAAGTTGCCATACCTCATAAGCACAACAAGATGAACACTGGATTCATAGAAGTAGTTAATTCAATGGTGGTAATTTATAAATGAAAGGTTTCATATAATCACATAGTACAGGAAGAAAGAATTGGTTCGTAGAAAGAAAGATATGAAGCGAATTCAATCTCATCGTCTTTTTTACATCGTATAGAAAGAATAAGAAATTGTCGTGTTACTTTAGACCATAGAATGATTTTAGGATTACCAGGGTAAATTCAAGCTTACAACAAATTGTTTTTTGTACACATAAGGGAGGAAGTTTAAATTTACGAATAACCAAGGCTTCAATAAACCTGAGAATTTGTCCTTGACAATTTCTATACAACTTTTTAAAAGCTGTAATAATGTCATTTTTATGCCCCGTTTCAATTATATGTTTCGCCCTCCGAATGCTCTGTTACGGCCGAGGGTGGGAAGAGTCAACTCTCTCAAAATGCTCTCACATGGTCACGTGTATACAGACACTGTCAGGGAAGTCCTACTCACTTCCTTCTGGTGGCGGAGGTGTTGTTCAGGAAATTGAGAGGACGAAAAGCGAATGTGATCTGTCCGACTTACTTCCTGGTCTATTGAATTAAGAGGTAAACGGAATACACTCATTAAGACACTGAATAAGAAAGATTACTTCAGCGAAAAGTTCTCTTTTCGGCGAATCATTTTCAAAACTGTACAATCGCAAATATATATATATATATATATATATATATATATATATATATATATATATATATGTTTTTTTACAGGATGATAATAATACTGATAATAAACTTGTTATACATGGTGACTGTGTGGTTAAATAAACATAGGTATTTTTTTAAAAACAAGGAAAGTTTAATGATCGTTTGATTGTTAATGACTTAGGTATTCATCAAAAGATAGATAAGGAAATTATCATTGGGAAAGGATGGCTCAGCATGATAAGATAAAATGTTGAAATAGAGATGAAATGTAATCGGAATGATCGTGGAAATAAAAGTAAACCAGTTGGTGGTAGAAGATTCAAGGGGAAGATGGAAGGTGAAGCAGATGGCTGTAAAGGAATAAGAGTATGAACAAGAGAGAAAAATTTTAATACATTAAGACCATGGTAGAAGAAGAGGTTGTAGCAGTCTCTTTTTCACACACAATTCCGGTTTTTCCAGATGTATGGCTATTGCTTCGGCAATGCAAAGAAGATGCAGTCTAATTGTCTTAGGAAGACTTCTACTTACCTTGTATATGACTTTGAACGCAGAGTCTGTCTTGATTGAATGACCTGTGTTCACAAGGTGTTCGATTATAGGACTTCTTAATGAGCTGTCGCCTCCTCTTTTTAGCCACGCCGGACAAGGTTCTTGAATTATTTTGGATAAAGTACACATCGAACAACCTATATACCTAGCTCCACATGAGCAGGTAAATTGGTAAATACATATTGAGTTGGTCAGATGACCTTTGTTTATTTAACTTCACTGTATAACAGAAGTTTATTGTCAGTATTATTATCATCCTGTAAAAATAAGTATATGTATTTGCGATTGTACAGCTTTGAAAATGAATTCGCCGAAAAGACAACTATTCGCTGAATTAATAGGTGTTTTTAAACTCATCCCATCAGCCATCGAGCATGACGAGGAGCAAAGATAACTTCAACATAAACTGACAAAACGTCTACACAATGTTTGTGATTAGTAGGAAAGGCAACGAAAATTTATCATGAATAGGTAACGATAGACAACTTTACAGACTTATGAAGAAAACGTATATTAAAAACGGCGGTCCAGTGATTCCAGGTTTTCTATGGTTGTCTAGCTTTAACTGACTCATGATCTCAACTATTGAAAATACATTAGAAAGTCACGTGTCAGTGATACTATCCAGAAGAATATGGGATTGTAATTTACTCTCAGTTCAAATGATTGGAACTATACGTGGAACATTTCAGAATACAGTTCAACTGGCCCTCAGTTACCCTCCAGTTGTACTTTTACTATTTTGTTATTGATTGATGTTAATTTCGTCTCTCTATGCTGAAGGATTGTGATAACTTGAACTGTTACAAGTATATGGTAGATCCTATGTTATTTATGAGTGACTGACTGACTGACTTGCTATTCCGTTTATTATCAATTTGGGTGTAAGCAAGATTGAATAAGCATTGAGAACGTTTGTTAAATTTTTCTACTCATGGTTATGACAATTTCTCTTATCGATGAAAATTTCACACCTCCATCATTTCTCCTGTCAATATTAATTTGGTGTCATTTTTTTCAGAGATATGATCATAGATGAAGTTATTACAAATGTAAATCTTATTGTATTAACTTGAAAATCGATTAAGGTAGTTGTAGTACAAACGAGTGATTGATAGAGTTCAATGATCTTGAGAGTGAAATACTCACTACTGGTGATATTAAATGACAGTCACATTATATTAAGGAATTGTCTAAACATTGGATAGAATAGGTCAAGTACGAATTGAAAACGTTATTTATTTTTTTTACTCATGATTATAACAACTTCACTGGGGGGTGTTGTTTAGAAAATGTAAAGGATTGCTCTTTAACCGAGTAGGTCGATACGGAGGGTTTTGCCACCCGGGCAATATCATAGAGCCCATACAAATCAATGATAATTACTACTGGCCTCATTGTTATTTATGGCGCACTCCCCTAGGATCAATATTTATATGTTAAAATCAATAAATTAATTCTCTATCGATAAGCATGGTTTGCTTACCTCATACATTGATCGGATCATTTGACATGAATTGGTTTTCAATAGATTATTATTATTATTATTATTGGTAGTAGTAGTATGTTGTATTCTGTTTTGTTTTCATTGGGTGTAAGCATGGTCGAATAAGTATTGAAAACGTTTCTTAAGTTTTTTACTCATGATTATGAAAACTTCACTGGGGGGTGTTGCTTACGTAATTGAGAGGACGGTGCTTTAACCGGGTAGATCGACACGGAGGGTTTGGGAACCCGGGCAGTATCATAGCCCTCACACAAATAAAGTTGTTTGTGTATCATTTTTATTTGAACACAGATACAAGGAGGCACCAAATATATATGCGCCACACAAATTTCATTTGATATGTGTGGGGGCTGTGATACTGCCCGGGTGCCCAAACCGAAGCAGGTGGTTTTTTTGGGTGGCCACGCCTAGAGCCTTCGACCTGAAGGTTTGATCCACGAGGCAGTGGAGCATCGTTAGGAGATGCAGTCCCATGGTAGCCGGTGACAAACGGTTGGTTCATACTCCATTTGTTCCCTCAGAGTACTGGATCCCATGTGCACCATTTGTTTGGGATCAGGGTTTTCCAACTCTACTAGGTGGACTCTCCATATCCACCAGCTTAGTTAAAGCTCCGGACATTCACGTTTCGTCCTCTCGATTTCGTAAACAATACCCCTGCCTCGAGAAGGCAGTGTTGCGCCTGTCCATTTGGTACCCCCTTGCACCAATAGTTATGTGATGAAATCAGTCAATAAATTAATAAATTCGCCATCGATAAACATGATTTTCTTATTTCCTCCATTGATTGAATCATTTGACATGAATTAGTTTTCAATAAACAAATCATTTATTGATTATCATTATTTATGTGTAAGCAAGGTCGAATAATCATTGAAAACATTTGTTAAATTTGTTTACTCATGATTCTGACAACTTCCATTGGGTGGTTGGGGGACGGGTTGAATACTTGGGGAGGAAGCCGAAAGAGGAAGTTTGGCGTTGAAAGTCGATGCAGTAGGAATAATAGGAATTGACGAGGGAGGTTGATTATGAATACAGTGGTCTTGATTGCTGTTAGAGGTATGAGGACGGTTACCACTTCGCGGTTGCCCACATCGTGGGAGGGTTCTTCTGGAGTGACATGAAAAGAAAATTGGATTAGAGGTGGTCTTAGTGATCTGGGAGCATGACCTCAGTGCCCAAGGGACAACTGCTTGAGGTCGGTCACAAACGACCTTTTTGTGAGTAATTTTCTTGTTAGCTCCGTACTTATTGAGACCTTACCGCCGGAAACGGATATCCATGGGATAAGACGTGGTGTGCATTTTTAGGGTCGACCTTTTCTAACTCCACCCCTCCTTGTGGAACGGCAACATCGCTGTCATGCTGGTTGTCTGAAGGAAACAGCTTACTGCTGTCACACCTCTGTACAGTGAGCAGTACGACTTCGCCTTCGGACCTTGGGTTTGTTGCTTTTAGTCTTAGCGCTCTTCAACCGACCTGTCTGACATGGTAGGACCTTGAGGAACGGTTGTTCCAACCAGTATAGCTCGGTTGCTTCATCACGATAGGCAAGCCCGACCACCACATCAAGGTAGCAACAACTGGTCGGGGGCTGGTTTGGCGGGTGTTGTTAACGAACTTAAGAGAATGACACTTTAACACGGTAGGTGGAAACGGAAGTTTCGGGCACCCTGGCAGCCCCCCCCCGCCCACACACATCTATCATATCATTGATTATCATGATCAGTAGTATATTCTGGTTTTTTTTCATTTTTTTCACAATTTTAGATCTTAAAAGGTATCAAAAATTTTTGGAAACATAAAAATGATGAAGATAAAGAAAGTATTTTATTACATCATTCTATTTTATTAACTCATCCAACATTTTTTTCATTATTACAAATATGTTTACCAGATTCAGATTTTATCATTGAATCATTATATGAACAAATTGAATATTTCTTATTGAATTCACGTCATTTAATTGATCATGTACCGGAAAATTTACATACCCGTCAAATTATACAAAATTGTTTAAAATATCGTTTAATATTAATTGGACAAAAATTTCATATTATACAATTAGATATTGATATGACTATACGTTGGATCACTCTACTAACTCAATTAATTAGTTATGGAATAATAGAACCAGAATCTAATTCTATTTTATTTTATATAGTTTATGATATGTTACAACTATTAATTCATACATTGACAGCACGTACTGGTATTGAAGGGAAACATTATCAAATGATTGCAAAAAAATTACGTCGTGAATTATTAGAACATCCATCTAATACTGGTATTGAATATATACGTCCATTATTATTATTAACAAAAAATTCATATACAATATTTGTTACTGGACGTCAAGTACGTCATCATGGATCACGTGGTGGATTATTAAATATGAATAGTGGGACACTTAGTACTAGTAGTAGTAGTGGTGGTGGTAGTGGTGGTGGTACTGGATCTAGTGGAAGTGGTAGTGGTATTGGTTCAAGTGGTATTAATAATAATAATAATAATAGTAATAAATTAAGTAATTCAAAAGGTTCAGGTAAAGCTGGAAATTGTTTATTAACTGGTGCATCAAGATTTCTTACTTCTTCATCATCATCTAATTCTATACTACAATCGAGTAGTGTTGGTCAATTTAAAAGGCATGGATATCAATTATTAGGTAAAGAACGTTTTAATCCATGGGAAATTTATGATCCAAGTAAACAACCATTATTATTATCTATTCATGGTGCTATAAATACAGAATCTATATTGTCACGTATTGAAGAACAAGCAAATCGTTTAATACGTCATGATCATTTTCATAGAATGTATCGTCCACCAGAATTTTATATGATACCAATTTATCCACAGACATTTGATGAAGATATATCAATGAATCATGTTAAACTATCTGATGTTGGTGAACATGATCATCCTGATATTATTAAAATGATAAAAACAGAAAATTCCAATAATAATAATGATACTACTAATAGTATTACTAACAACACTTCTATAAGTAGTATATACAACAAAAATCATAACAGTAATTCTATGGATGTAATGAGAGAGTCTCAAATATTATCGTTAAATGATATGACACAATTATCTGAGACAAATTTATCTGAATGTTCAAATCAATTTCTATCGATCAATGGTAGTAATAATAATAATAATGATATTAATATTAGAAGTGGGGACTCGAACAGTAATTATCTTCAATCTACCAGTGGTGTATTATATGATCAGAAACATAATATCTCTTCTATATCATGTCATTCTACAAATAATTTAATGTTTAATGAGTCGAATTCATCAATAAAATCTGTTAATCAAATTGATTGTGGTAATACTAATATAATGATGTCAATGATGATGATGACATCTTCTGGGTCAACAACCGTTGATACTGCAACGAATAATAGTAATAGTATGCAAATTGGACGTGGGAAATTGTTGAATACCAGAAATGATATTGAAATAAATGATAAATTATCATTGAATAATCGCATTAATGCTTTTCAATCATCCTCATCGGGATCATTAGGAGGAGGAACTGTTGGTAGTGGTATTGGTGTTGTATCGTCTTCGACATCTTCATTACAAATTCACTCACATCCACAACAAATTCATGGGCATCATCATCATCATCATCAACAACAACAACAGATACATTTAAATTCAGATCAGGCATATAATAATTCAACGCGTAAATTACCATCTCAACAAACTGTTTTGAATGATTATTCGAATCCGAATGAATTAGATCAACGACCTATGAATAATGTGAATCATTGTGTAACATTAGCAGGACATATGAATACAATCACATATCCTCTCAGTCATCATCATAATCATCAAATGGATGTTAATTTGCATAAAACTAATAAATTATTAGGTATGGAATATAATGACAGATTGATTGCATCTCAGTCATCAACATCATCTCAACAACAAATTCAACTTAATCCAACAGGAACATCTTCAATACCACCGCCTTCAAATAATGCTACTATGCTATCAACACCGATGAATAACAGTGTCGTCGCTGGCCATGTATTGACATCAGCGAAAACAGCAACAACAACGACAAAACGTAAACGAGGATCAGGACGTCGTGGTGGTGGGGGTAATATAACATCAGATCGAAATTCTATACGTCCTAGTGGTGCAACTACTCGTGGTGGTATGCATACCACTGGTTCAGTGAATGTCGTAGGCTATGAAAGGATGAATAATAATAGTACTAATAATAGTTCCGTAAATTTATACTCTTATAATATTATAAATCCGGAACAACAAATCAATGAATCCAATCACCAATGGACAAACAAACAAAATGTTTATAATATGAATTTACTTGAAATGCAACAACAACAACAACAACCGCCATCATCCACTCGTGGACATCATCAGCAACAACATTTGGCTAATTTAAGCGGTTTCTTGCGTAATCGTGCCCAGCAGCACCATCAACAACAACAACAACAACAACAACAACAACAACAACTTCATCCTGAGCAGTCGTATGGATCAAGTTTTAATGCAAACAACCCTGTTGTTTTGTCACATCAAGGTCATGTGTTTGACCAATCACAACTGAGTAGCCAATTTAACCAATCTAATACTCATCTGGTTGATAGTCCATCTGGCTCATTAAGACGGCATTTAACAACAAGTGGAGGTGGGGGTGGCAATGTTGCTCGATCTATGCAACAGTCATCTCAACAACAATCTCATCAAATTCTCAGTCATCCTACTGGAACACCCCAACAACTTCCACCTGGTATGCCAAATCCACCACCTTATCCAATATCTAATCATCAATCTCAACAATATTCATTTCGTGCTCCTCCATCTGATGAAGCTAATTATATGATGAATACAAATGAATCAAGTATTGATGAGCAATTTAAACGACAGTCGATAAATCCTGTCATGAATTCTATTCATCAATCTGGTACAACAATAATGTCACGTTCATCGACTTATGAATCTCCAGCTAGTCATCTACAAACTGATGTTCCATCACAACAACAACATATGTCTTATATACCGTCACAAGTTGATACACCATTAAATCAATCTAGAATTCATTCTCGTATTATTAACCAATCTCAATCTAATCAAATGATTCGATCTGATATAACACCAACAACAGTAATAAATACTGGTAATAATAATCAACCATCTCATATGTCAAATCTACCTCACTCATCATATTCACGTTATACTGGTTACTAATACTGTTATTTTGTTTCTCTCCTTATATGTGTGTGTATGTATGTATGTATGAGTGTATTGTCTATTCTGTGATTATTCTATGTTATCCCTTCTTGTTTGTACAGTTATATAACTAGATATTTATTTGCATATGTCGAAGGGATAATGTCGATTGGTGACTATTATTATTCTAATTATGAACGGGGGGGGGTGTTGTTGTTGTTGTTTTGCCTTGTAAAAAAGAACACAGTTACTTTTTCATCTTATTTATAATTGTCATTATATTTTCTTTTCATCGACGGGATGTAAATGGAATGCAAATGTTACTGATGTATGTTAATACTATTATTACTATTATCTTAATAATATTTAAATATTAGAGAATATAAAAGAAGTGAGCTTAATGATCTTCAACATGTTCATTTTTTTTCTTCTTAAAAAGATTAGTAGTTTGGTTTACAGAAAATGTTTTCTCGTAGTCTTTATTGTTGGTTACTTACTTACGCCTGTTACCCCTCATGGAGGAGTATAGGCCTCTCACCAGCACTCTCCATTTAATATTATCTTGAGCAATCCTCTGTCAGTCAGCTACAACGTTAATTTAGAGGTGGTAACATATAAAGGAAAGATTGCAATAAGGATATAGTACAGGAAGAAAGAATTGGTCCGTAGAAAGAAAGATATGAAGCGATTTTAATCTCTTAGTTTAAGGGAAAACAGAGAGTGTATACACCTACGCCATTGTGATCGGTTTTGAGCCATGTCACCCAGAGTCTCCAACCATTGGTTACGATAGTCATGTAGACGCCAACCAAGTAGTCTGCATCTACCGAAATGGCTCAGACTAGAAGTTAGTGAGTTCAAGGACTGATGCCACATTTTGCTTTGGCCGCCCCTAACCTGAGCAATCCTTTCCAGTTGTTATTCATTTACATGTCTGCTTCTGATTCCCAACTCAGTGTACTCTTTGGCCTTCGTCTTTTCTGTTTTCTTTCAGGATTCCAAGTAAGTGCTTGTCTCATGATATAGTTTGATGATTTCTTCTTCCTATCCACTTCCAACATCATTTCCTAATTTTTGCTTCAATTGGAAGCTGGTTTGCTCTATCCCACAGTAGCCTGTTGCTAATGGTATCTTGTCAACGGATATTGAGTATCTTACGCAGACAATGGTTTATAATTTTTTGTACCTTTTCGATGATGGTTGTGGTAGTTCTCGACGTTTCAGCTCCATACAGTGGAACTGTCTTGACGTTCATATGGGAGATTTTGACTTTGATATTGACTTGAAAACAGTTGTTTTAAGTTCTATATGTACTTCCAATGTAGGAATACTGTCCTTGTTTGCCAATCCTCACCTTTACATAACCAGATCCTCCTTGTTCATCGATGATGCTGTCCAGGTACGTGCAAGATTACACATCATCCACAGTTTCTCCATCAACTGATATAGAGTTGGTGTTCTCTGAGTTGTATTTAAGGATGTTGCTTCTTCTTTTGTGCATGTTGAGGCCTACTGCTTTAGAAGCTACTGCTACACTGTTTGTCTTCATCTGCATTTGTTCGTGCGTATTGGATAGAAGGGTCAGGTCATTTGCGAAGTCCAAATCTTCTAGTTGATTTAGAACTGTTCATTGTATTCCATATTTCCTCTCAGATATCGAGTTTTTCATATTACAATCGACCACGAGACGAAACTGGAAGAGGGAGAGTAGATAGCCTTGTCTGACTCCGGTCCTCACTTGGAATGCGTCTGTCAGCTGTCCTCCATACACTACTTCGCAGTGTTGTCCGTCTTATGATAGTTTATGATAATTTTAAATAATGAAAAACAGAGATTTTCATAAAACAAAATAGGATTAATACATTCTAGATAAGGTCGAACGACTAATATATGATATTACCCTACATTAAATAATTGAAGTCAGTCTACAGAAAAACCATTTACATTTAGGTACCATTTCAATTAACACTTGTCAATCTCAGGTGAATATATACAGCCTTCATACTGATTCTTCTTTCTATGTAATGTTGCAATTAAAGACTTTATCAGAAGGGGTTTTGTGGAGATTTTACTAATTTCAGTAGTTGAGATCATGAGTCAATTGAAGCTAGACCACCATGGAAAACCTCGAATCACTGGACGACCGTTTTCAATATACGTTTTTTTCATAAGTCTGTACAGTTGTCTATCGTTACCTATTCATCATAACTTTTCTGTCTCTTCATTTCTCTGACTTGCCTACAAATCACAAACATTGTGTAGACTTTTTATCAGTTTATGTTGAAGTTATTTTCGCTCCTTGTCATGCTTCAAGACTGACGAGATGAGTTTCCAAGCATCTATTAATTCAGTAGACCAGGAAGTAAGTCGGACAGATCACAATATCCATGTTTTAACCATTAAGGGTACAGCAAGACAAGACACTGAACTAACAAGATGAAAAGTCACATAGTCGAGGTTGAACTTACACTAATCAATAGCAGAGTGGAAAACTGAGTAAAAAGAAATAATGCAATTCACCAAAAACCAATAAAGATAAGAGAATGAAGCTCAAGATTTTGAGATTTATATTACTGAGATTAATGTCAATAAGCATGAAAACCAATTCGAAACCGGAGAGATCATTGTTTTAATGACACTTTTGCCAAGTAGAGATTCGTGTACTCAGCTTTGAGCCTTGCTTCTTATATCACAGTTATAGATACTACCCAGTTGTCTAGACTGATGTGGTAGTTCTATCCTTGGATCAAATGGGACGTATGTTACATTACTCCAACCACCCCTGCCCCAACATACCAGGTTGGCTGCTGTAAGAGTAGTTTAGAAGAGAGCTGGTGGTAGTATCACTGCATGAAGTCGTTGGCTTTTTAAATGAATAGAAATGAAGGAGATGCATTCAATTTTTGTTTAACTTTAGGTCTTGAGTTTTGAAATAATCGTATGCTTTTTATTCCGTGAACATATTCTTTCTTTTCGGATTACATCGTCTATAGCTAACCATTCGTATTACCACTGACACTGTCACTTCTTTTATTACTGTGATATTTGTCTTGTAAATTTCGTCTCGCTGTGATGATATGATGTGGTAAGTTGGATTGATGAACATATGTGCGAAGTTGTATGTTGCTTATGACTGACTAATTTAGTGATTCAAAGCTAGGCGTGTTTCATAACTAAGTGATATTTCCAATTTGACTTCCAACTAGCAGGTCGTAGGTTCGAACCCAACTCCATTTCATTCAAGTTAAGTAATCAGATAGTGTGACTAGCTCTCAAGCGCACACAAACAAACAAGTGTAGCCCAACGTCGAGAACATAAATCTAGTTCTTGGTAAATGAGTTGAGTTATAAAGAAGGGATTTAATCTAGGGTGAGGCTGGAGGTATGGAAGCAGTTGTCACTCCCCGGCTCCGCAAACTATACAGGAATATTTCTTCTTGAGTGATCTGAAAGGAAAACTGGATTAGCAATGTTCTTGTCGACCTGAGGGTATGACTGCACAGACCGAAAGGAAACTACTTGGAGCCGGTCACACACATCCATCTTGTGAATTTCTGATGCGTTAGCTCCGAACATTAAAGGCTTCACAGTTGGAGAGGGAAATCTGTGGGACAAGGTTAGGTGTGCCATGTTTAGCACCGATGTTTTGGTAGGAATTACAGAGAGATTTTCTATACAAATACCCAGACTATCATGAATAGGGTTTTATCAAGACTGTAATCAGAACTGGTAATCTGTATACAGGCAATAACTTTTAACTGCTTCAACAATATAAATTGATTACAATCCTTACAACAGCATGAATAGGTTCAGTAAGTTAGAAAAAGGAGAATAATTAATCACATGTGCTGAACAATAAATTAGGAGCACAAACAAAATACGTTAACAGAAGTTTTGTCATGTTGATAAAAAGGGGTAGAATCTCGTGATTGGTGGATGGAATGAGACTGAATCTAAGTAGTTGGTTTTTACGATCGACCAATCTGTGGTTTCCATATCCTTGAGTCGTTCATTTATAAATTGATTTCTAGTAATGTTTATTCTTTCGTTTGGTTTTTTATATGTGAGAATTTTATTTTTCTGTAAGAGTAATCTGTTTTACTAGACGAATCTTCTATCTCCGGGAGTTTCTGTCAATAAATCAGTGGACTGTGTTGCTGCATGCTAATTGATTAGCTCTAGCTCTCACACTTAAATCATTGTTCATAGCCCCAGTGCAGGAACATTTACATGGTAAATAAGTTAATAAACTGTTTCACTATTCATCTTTTTAGTTTTATCTAGCTGAGCTGATATGACAATACCGACTACTGACATATTTCATTTGATGTTGTTCGCCTGTATCTTTTCATTGTTTGACTGAAGGCAATTCGCACAGGATGCACATATGCCAATAAGAGACTGATTAATTGCAGTCCTAAAGAATAATGGGAAGATTCAAGTAAACAACACCCCATTACACAAGCAGATGGTTATGAGGACTCAGTAGCTAAGTGGATAATGAAATGGAGTTTGAAGCGAATTGTACTGGCTTCGAGTCTTAGAGTGAACACCGAATTTGGGATGCAGGCACATCAGGCTGATAAGTCCCAAGTAGGACGAAACGCGCATCAAAATGGATTCCACTGATAGCCAATATCCATCTTTGCATATAAAACTACTGACATATTTGTTCTAGGGCCTATATTGATGATAACTGAATAAATTCATAAATCATCAGAATAGGGTTTTTCGTACATGGATACAACTTAAGAAAAGTGTGATTAAATGTTTTTAGCTTTCTTACAAGTGTTTTCAGAACAGAAATTATCGACTCTTTTGTGAATGTTAATTAACTAATTGATATATTTAGCTCTGAACGGTTGTTTCGTCCTAGTATAGGACACCTCAGAAGTGCGCATTCACGATCCCTCTCGCGAGATTCTCACCCAAATAGTTAAAACTTTATAAAAATCGAAACTTTCAATTCGACATATAACTTCTGGTAGAGAACTTAAGTTCACTATAACTGTCCACATATAAATAAATTTATTTATTACGTTAAAATGGATGGTTTAACATTATTAATAGTCTAGTAAGGCTAGGTACAGGGGTATTAAGTAAAATGGCTAAATCCATTGATAATGTTAAGAACTTTCATCCATCAAAGTTGTTAGGGCATCTGTTCATGAAATTACTGAATGTGTTGATATGATCAATCATGAAATGTACAGATTCCTTGATTGGAGACGATGGAATAATCATAATTTTTCAGTATAGGGGTTGTGGAGATTACTAAGTTTTTGATTGAGATCATGAACCGATTGATGTTGGACCACCGTTGGAAACCTGAAAACTGGAAGGCCGTTTCAACCTATTGTGGGACTCCTCAGCAGTGCGCATCCACGATTTTGCTCGTGGGATTCGAACTCAGGGCCTTCAGTATCGCGCGCAAGCGCTTAACCTACTGGACCACTGAGCCGG